ATGGTTTCTTTTATATGATAATACTAGGCCCATAGATCATTGTCTAGATAACAGTATCTTGCTAAACATTAAATTGCAGTGATAAATTACCCACCATATTCTCCCAACTTATTGCCAGCTGATTTTTTTTCCAGTTTTTCAAAGTCTAATTTTTGGTCATGAAAAAGGGCAGAGATTTGAAAACATCTCGGATATTAAATCACATGTTACCTGTACTTTACGAATGGCTTGTACCAGTGGTTATAGATAGTGTTTCAATGATCTGAAGAAACACTGGAAAAATTGCATAGACTTCTCTGCCAATTATTTTGAAGGAGATAAATTTATTTGAGGCTAGTAATCTTGTTTTTTATTTATAAGAAATACTGTTTCAGAATTTCATACTTTTTAAACCACTTTTTTAATAGTTTAAATGCATATAACCTATATATATATAATCATTTCATTGGTTGCTCAGTAATAAGCAAGATAAATTTTATGATGTTCCTACTGCATTTTATTTTGCAGTAAACATATATATTTATTCAGTTACACATTGAATTTGATAAAAATAATGATCTGTTAATTTAGAATAAAGTATTCAAGACTATCCATTTCCCAAATAGGGGAACTCATAACAATGGAAGCAACTGCAGCAAAAAAGTTCAATCCTCTAATTTCTTAAAATCTTTCTATTACTTTTCTGCAATGCATGTTACGATCGTTAGTTAATATGGATGACCATAGGATGGCCTCTAAGACCTTGAAATATGTATTTTAAATAGCAGTTAATTGTGCTTGGTCTGGAAAGTATAAAGTTTGAATTTTAATTGAAACAAGACAGTTATAATGAAACGGAGAATGTTATGTAAGGTGTTACATTTCAAACAATGGCTAGCTCAGAAAGGATTCATAAGTCATCTACCCTATGAATTAACAGCTATCTTATCATAAATTGAGCACTTCAAATCTTTTGAAAAAGGTTTATTTACACATTTGTACAAGTTAAATGAACAAGAAATATCTATTTATTTTACACAAACATCATCCTTAGCTATCTAAACCACAACTCCTCGTTTTTCTCTGGCGTCCCATGACATCAGTCTCTCTGGCCTTTTATTCATTGGTGTAGTGATGCCAGTCCCAACATTTTTTCCCTTTGAGTTGCTGGATAGCTACTCAAAACATTCAAGTCTATCATGTTCAATCTTAGTGGCATCTTTAAACAGTTCTATCAGATTGTGTCTTTGTACTCTTAGAACTGTCACATACATCAGAAACATCAGTGGGTTCTGGAGATCGGGATGGATCTGAAAAGAAAGGGAAAAAAGACAAACAAATAAAAAAAGGGAAAAAAATGCATTGTCCAGTTGGTGAATGTTAATTTTGTGCACCACCAGTTCATCTGATCAGCAGAGGTTGACAGGATAATGGTGCCTTCGTGGTGTATCTTTCGTACTTTATAACAATCAGAGAGATGAACTTTCATTGTCTCATAAGGATTGAAGAGTTTGGGATGAAGTCCAAGTTGGATTGGCATTTGGTCTCCAAGTTTGGATTTGAAGACTCTTCTCTGTCGTTTTTTTGGGTGTGAAGCGGCTAAAGAATATGAAACAGTAATTTTTCTTCCAGATATTTCAGCATTCTTTGTTGTCTCGAAAGCTTCAACTGCATCTTTTTCCTGTATGTAACTGATGATACATTTGGATATACAGGTGATAAATTTAGAGTTATCTGAGTTGCTTTTGGAAAAAGTTTGGTAATCTGAGAAATCGCAGTGTCAACTGGAATGACAGAGATAAGTATTTTCCTTGATTATGTTTCTGTTCTTTGGGAGTTTCTGAACTTTTAGCAGGTGTTTTCTCGTTTGCTTATCAGCACATCCTTGTTTAAATTGATTCAGTTGATTTTGCACAGTTTCTTCATTATTCTTCACGATTGGATCATCATCATCTTCATGAGGTAAAAAATGCCTCGTGTCAATATTATCAAATATATTCAATTTTTCCCATTCCCGGGAGATCGTAGTGTATTCTTCTAAAAATCTTGTGCTCGCTGGCACATCCTTTTATGCCACTTCCAAGTTAAATCTTTATTTGTCAGTAAATCAGCCATGTCAAATTTAAAATGTAAACAAAGTTCATATCTACCATCCGAAAGAATTTTCACTTTATTTTTAAACTCTTCCAAAACTCTAGAATGTTCTAAATTATTTCTATTATTTTCAATGGTATCTGAAATACCTATGGATTCTAAAGACTATAAATCTTTTGTCAAATAATTACTTACATACAACGAAATTACATTCAAAACAGTATCACCATTGCTATCTCCAAATGACTCATGCTTCCCAATTAACACATGCCCCAAACAAGTCTCAGTCAAAAATAATTCTGACTCCAACCGAACAGATTTATTAGTAAATAAAGCACCGGCAATATCCGCTCCCAAAAGCAGACCTATCTCATGATCAGAGGAAGTCAAATCAGACAAACTGACACCTCTAGCTTTCAGTTCATGAAGAATTTTACTATAGTTCACTTTTGGCACTGTGCTATAAATTTTGCTCTCTGATAGTGCTTCAGTTTGAAAGCAGTAGCCCTGAAATACACAAATACACATGTAGCCCTGAAATACACAAATTATAAACATCATGAATCTGCATTTGCATTTCTCTGGCCTTGAATAACGAATGCTTCAATTTACTTTGCCGTAATGGTTTTAAATTTAAATTCTCTACTAATTTTTTACTGACATACAAATGCTGAGAGGCTGTATCAAGTATCGTGCATACTTTAAGCTCAATATTCTTAAATTTAATTTTAACAATTAGAGTCATTAAATAAACATTTTGTATTCTACAGTTATTAGTTAATGGACTGGTTTCAGTTACATCACTTCTAGATTTTTCATTTGCGCTTTTTTTTTTTGGCGATTGGGACACATTAAGGAATGGTGATTTTATTACAGTACATGCAAAAATTTTTTACTCGGTATGTTTTACAAGTGTTAAAAGAGACAGTTAAAATTGTGCTTACCTGGGCTCTCAGAATTTAATGTACTTACTAGTGCAGCTGTGGTGGCAGATTTTACATTTTATTTAGTGTATCCTTTTTCTTTGGAAATATGATTAGAACCAAACCCAGTGTGGGCTAACATGGCCATTTCTTCTCCTTTCACTTCTTGTTTCAGAAAATTCATCAGATTTTCAAGGCATCGGTCATCAGGTTGAGCTGCTTCTTTTAAATTTCTGTCTCTCTCCCAAGCAATTAATACTTCGTGGAGGCAGGTTAAGAAATCCCCATACTTCTCTTGCATTCTTATAAGACTTTCTAATCTTAGTTTCTAAATCATCATAGAGAATTAAAAGATCCGTCTTCACACGTCCACTGCTTGCATTACGCATAACCATGCTTAGAAGATCTCTGACGTATAGCTGTACAAGTAAGTCTTCTCTTCCAAACCTCTCTCTCGAAGCTGGGCGATTGCTTTCATATAATTCGACGCCGTTTCCGGAAAACTCCTCACTACCTGTGCGGCTTGGGACTGAGGAACAACTGCTTGCAGAAGGTACTTGAATTTATCTTCATCTGTAATAGTCATGGATCTTCGAAAAGTGGCTCCAAAATGTCAAAAATTCTTTTGCTTCGTCGTTGAATTTCTTTATTTCGTTCTTCGGCAGTTTAAATTTGCGCTTTGGTAATTCAGTAGGTAAAGGATTCTTCAACAGCTTTTCGATTTGAGGACAGAGTTCAAAATATTTATTTCCATAAGGCTCAGACGAAATAAAATCTTCTTCATATAGCTTTTCAGCATCTTTAGATTGAAGAATTATCGACATTACTTCCGTTTGGCAAATTTTAAGTCAATTAAACTTATCTTTAAGCTGTAGTTCCAGAACCGAAAGTAACTTCAAATCGTGAATATCTGATTTCAGTTCTGCATCGGTTTTGTTTGCACATGTGGTAAAGGAAGTTCTTAGACATTTCCATTCAGTTTCAGTTGTGTAAGCTCCATTTTCAATTTATTTTAGCTGTTATCGTGTTCCATGTTTTGGCGCCACAAATATTATGTTATGTAAGGTGTTATGTTTCAAACAATGGCTAGCTCAGAAAGGATTCACGAGTCGACTACCCGATGATTTAACAGTTATCTTATCATAAATGGAGCACTTTTGAGAAAGGTTTATTTACACATCTGTACAAGTTAAATGAACAAGAAATATCTATCTATTCCACACAAACATCGTCCTTAGCTAGCTAAACCGCAATTCCTCGTTTTTCTCTGCCGTCCCTTGACATCAGTCTCTATCTGGCCTTTTATTTGTTGGCGTAGTGATGCCATTCCCAACAGAGAAGTTTGAATTTTAACGGTAGTCCAAGCAATTACAGTGGAATGGAAAAGAAGTAAAAGTGATGCCAAATAAGAAATGTAAATATTTTTATGATTATTGAAAGATTTGTTAGAAACATGTTTATATCTATACTTTCCATTGTTTATAAAGCTTATTTAGTTTTTGAATGTGAATCCTGCATCTTTTATAAAGGGAATATTGGCTGCAAACAATATAGTTTCATTGAAGGGCATAAATATGAGAAGAATTATGAAGAATTAGTCCTCTTGTTAACAAAAATTTTTTAGGGGGGGGAATTATAAATGTTAATTTTACTTTCATGGAAGGTACCTTCAGTTTTACCTATACAGTTAAATATAGCAGTTCTATAAGAACTGGTTTAATATGAATATTTTATGAAACTGACTTAAGGTGATTAACACTTTCTGCGATCTAAAATTGAGGCTGGACAGAAAAAGTACAGTTATTATACTTTTTATTACAACTGTGTGCATTACAAAAATAAGATTTAATAAAGAAGATTAAATTTATAATTAAAATAAGATTTAATGCTTAATATCTATTATAATGTAGTTATCCTCTGAAATTATCCATATTATAATTATATTTAAATTATTATCATCCATCATAAAATAAAATGTATTTACATCAGTCCTTTTTGTTTTAGAAAATCCTTTGTGTTTTCAACATTAGGATTCACAAGTGTCACATTTGCAACTGGTGCATTAGCATGGTTTGGCCCTAAATATATGGAACTGGCTATAAAACAGAGAGCTGTAGGCTCCCCACCACAAAAGTAACTTTTTTTAAATGTTATTTTCGGATTTTGAAGGGGGGGATATTATTCTTTCAGTATATTAATAATATTTATTTTATAAAATAATATGAAGAGAATATTCATATATTTCAGAGCAGCCTTGATTTTTGGGTTTATTACATGTGTTGCTGGTATTGTTGGGGTATTAATAGGATCCATCAGTTCTCAGTATTTAAGACGTTTAAATGCAAGAGCTGATCCTTTAATATGTGCTTTTGGGGTCTTGGCAAGTGTACCTCTTGTGTATGCAGGAGTTGTTATAGCAGACAGTAATTTGACTCTCTCATGGGTATGTATATGTTTTCTTCTATCAAGCTTTGCATTTATCTCATTTTCCCTTTTCTGTATGTATCTTACATTAAATTTGAGCTTTATAAATTTTCTGAAGTCAGATGTATGTGTAACATTCATAATTTAAATATAAATATGTATTGTAAACATAGTACATACTAAACTAACAGTGTGAAAGAATAGAAAATCTTGTTTAATTGTTATTCATAATCAGTTGTTTTTATAGTATTTTATTTAATTAATAGTTATAATGATATATAATTTTATGAATTTTTAAGTCATAACTACATTAACTAGTGAGATTGTTTATCCATTGTATTCCTTATTTAATTTTTAATAGTCAAAATTTCCAAGATAATTTTTAATGTGGTTAAATATTTTGTTAATGTATTACAGAATTAAACTAAAGTTCTGTGATAATGTTTGCCGTATCAATACAATTTATAATATATGAATCATGCAACTTTTTTTTTTTTTTTTGATTAGATTCTCATTTTTCTTGGAGAAGTTTGCTTATGTGTCAATTGGACAATTGTAGCTGATATGCTGCTGGTAAGCTGGAAATTTCTTAAGAAATGATATGTATAATTTTGAACTGAAAATTATGTTGAAAAATGCTATAGTTTTGAAACGGGAACATTGTTTTTAATGCAATTTATGAAAAAATTGCTGACTGATTATATTGAAACTGGCTCTTAAAATTTAATTTTTATTTTTTGACTGTCAACTTATTTTTCCTGATTTTCAAACTGTTCTAATTATAAGAATCTACATTTTTAATTAAAAGATTACTATATATTTTACAATTTTTCTTATGGATTTTGAATTTATTTTATATGTTGAAACTGATATGTCCAAAATATTTTGGAACTGATTAAATATGTTCCTTAAAAAGTACTTTTTCATTATAATTTATTTCTGTGAATTTTGAATATCAAAATTGTGCTGTAATAATTTTCAAAAGGTAGAGAAAGCAATTGTTTGCTTTTTAAAAATAAACTTTAGTTTGATTATAATTTGCTTCAAAATACGTTAACACAGTTATTTTGAAATAAGTAATTTTAATAAACAGTTAAATATTTTTTAATATAATGAGGTCTATAACTATAAATTTTTTATTTAATTTTCCCCCCTTCAGTATGTAATTATCCCAACAAGGAGATCGATAGCAGAAGCTGTACAAATACTTGTTTCTCATGCACTTGGTGATGCTTCTAGTCCTTATGTCATAGGAATTGTAAGTCATTATTTAAAAAATTTCTTTAGTGCATTAATAGGTGCTTATTTAACTGAGTACATTTCTAAAAATTGTTTTACATGGTATTACCTTCCTAAGGTGCATGGTATTATTTTTACTTGATGAAAATATTTCCTAAAACAAGTTAAAAAAAAATATGTACTAATTTGTGATAGGTCGTCAGTAAAATTTTGTTCGTGTTAAAGGGAAATTTTTTGGCATGTAACATCATAACATATCATGTTTAGTTAAAAATTCATATTTTATATTTACGGTAGGTATTGCATAAAATAATGCAATACTGTCTAAAGTACATGCTACTGTTTTATAACTGATAATATTTATTAGCTATATATAGTTCATAAAGTTCACTGTAATTTTTAAAATTTGAGATTTCAAGGGGTATTTAAACAACTTATTTTTTTAAATCTCTGAAATTACCTATATTGTGTGCATAGGTGTTTTTTTCAAATAATAGTTCTAAAGTTAAAGAAGTTTTTATTTTCTAAAGTTAAAGAAGTTTTAGTTTCGAAAACTTCCTTGAAAGTAAAACCAAGAACTATCACTTTTATAGTAAAATACAAAGTTTTGATTTTACGTTTTCAATAAAATAGGTAAAATTATTTTTAAGTAATAAAATCCTGGAAAACATAAAAACTTGGTTTCAGGGAAGTCATAAAATAAAATGAAACTACACATTTTTTGTGCAGTTTATAAAAATCGGCAAATTTTGGTTTGAGGTAAAAGATGAAACCCATCTGTACCTTTACTATTGCTAATTAATTTATAGTAAATATCATGTAGATATTATCCTTTGCTTTTCAAATTCAGGGAGTTCTTTACAGATACATAAATGGAGATTTTTTAATGTATATGCATATTAACTTTGCTAGTATTTTTAAATTTAATCAAAGCTAAAAAACTTGCATTATCTGTCATGAAGGATGATATTTTTCTAGCATTTTGTTTCTAAACATTGAATTTGATGAGTTTTTATTTGTAAAAATGTTTTTGTACTAAAAGGAAAGTTCTGTTTAAAGACTGAAATGTACAATAAATGTATCAAAATATTTTTTTTTTTATAAAAATAGAAAAAAAGTATCCTCGTTTCATTCAAGAAGAGAATATAAATCTTGCATTAATGTCAAATATTAAAATATATAAAAAATATAAGCTATTAAAAACAAAATCTTAACAATGTTAAAAATGTCCATAAATTAGGGTAAGGATAAAAGCCTCCTGTTAAAATTGAATTATTTGGTCGTTATATCTCTACTGCAAATGCATGAAACTTGGTACAATATGACATATATGGGAATGAGAATGGGAGAATTAAAAAGTAATGAATAAATCTTATTTTAAAGTTGCATATGCATTTTGAGTTTTGGCAAGATTAAAGGAATTAAGTAATCTCTACATATAATAATAATAAATAATAAACAATTAAATGAAGGTTAATCAATTATTTTATTGTATTATTTTACAGTATCCCTCAACTTTTTCAGAAAACTCTTCTTTGTTTTAACTAAAATGTAATAATAAATTGCAGCACAATCAATGCTGAACAACGAAACTCCTTTCCTTGGATATAGAAAAAATTTGTCTGTGTTTTTGTGTTGCTGGAGGAAAGGGGGGGGGACAAGACCTTGATCAGCTGACTGCATCCACAGCACAAGCATTTTTTTTTTTCTTTTTTTTAATCTTTTGCCTTGTATAATATAAGATACTTTGGAAAACTGACTTGTTTTTATTTATTTGCTGTTCTTTCTTCTGCAGTTGTACAGCAATATATTTTTTAATATAAATAATATTTCAACAGTATTAGGCTGCATATAAGAATTGATCCTGTATAGAACTGTTTAAATATTTTGTTAAAATAAATAAAAAAAAATTTATGTATTTTCTACTAAGAATTCATTTCCAGCTATTGATATTGTTAATGAAGTTATTAGTGTAATTATGAAACAAAATAAAAATATAATTTTTTTTTTTAAAATTCTTTGGTACTTTCTAGTTATCCATCCAACCCTGAAAAGAATTTACCATGCAGTGCATTTTGTCACTAAAATAGGCAACCCCTGATGATGGCAAAATGTATTTATGTGGCAACCTAGGAGTTATGGTGCATATGCAGCAGATGAGCAGCATTTTTGACCTTCAAACTCATCAACAATTACTGTTTGTTTTTGTTGCATCAAATGCATTTTTTACATCTTTTAAGTAAGAATTTGGAGTTTGCTAATTGGTGAAAACAAAAGTTTTGCATATCTCAGAAATATGGTATTTTGCCTAACAATAAGAGAGGAATGTAATAATTTGGATTCTGTGAAGTTTACTTCGTAAACATTCAAATTTTATATATCAAACTTTGAAAATTCTCTAATTTTTTAAAAGTAAAAACAGATCACTGTATATTTGAGAAGAACAAAAGCTTGCATAGTGTCAAACTTGTACAATTCTGTGATTTTTTTTAATTGAAAAAAGATTGCTGCATACATTTAAAGAATGGTATTATGCATATTACCAAGTTTCTGTATGCAATTCTCTATGTTATGTTCTTTGAATCTAAAACAGATGCTATGTGCGTGGGGAGAACAGAAAAAAAAAGGGGAGGAGGTACGTGTTTTATTATGGATATTTCTTGTGTTTTTAATTTTGTTAATTGGTTGCTGTGTAATGTAATTCTTAGTTCACTACCATTTTTGAAAACGGCTGTTGTCTTTGGCATCTTAGTTTGGCGAAAAATTAGTCACCAATGGTTGGCAACTCTTTTCAGGGCTGGTTAAATAATCAGAAATTACCAATTATTTGATAAAAATGACGAGGGGGAATTTATCTTAATAATTTCTTATTTAATAATATATACATAGATATGTTATTTGTATTATTTAAAATTTGTAGGTATCTGATGCAATCATTCACAGTAAAAATCCAAGTATTGATGAATTTTTAAGCCTTCAGTATGCATTGTATATACCGACAGGTGTTTTGATAATTGGTGGTTTTTTCTTTTTCTTAACTGCTGTGTACATCGAAAAGGATAAAGCAAAATGTAGTTTAGTGACTCATGGTAAGCAGTTTCACATTTTGTGATCTAAAATATTGTTCTAATGTAAGAATTAGTATCTACAAGTAAATTTCTCAAGTGAGTAAGTAGTATGTCTTCTTTAGTAAAAAAGTATATTTTTTATTGAAATAAGCAAATTTTTATTTATATAGCAGCTTGTGTTTTTTATATTAAAACTTTGTGTGTAATTTATTATGAAAATGTTGCTGAAAATCAGTTTTGAAATTAATTTTCTTTGTTATCAAAAAAACCTACATTATAAATATGTGCATTTTAATAAAAATAATTACTTATTGTTGAACTAAAAGCTAAAGCTACATATATTAATTTTAAACTAATGATTGTAATATTAATTATAATAATTTTTAAAGACCATATTTATATACAAGTACTTTTCTCTTCCTTATTATGAACTTAACAAATTTGTATTTTATGCTCACTACTTGTTATTGCTACCCTGTGTGTGTATTTTTCTTTTCCTTATTATGAACTTAAACAAATTTTGTATTTTATGCTTGCTACTTGTTATTGCTACCTGCGTGTGTGTGTGTGCATGTCTTCATCCTATATCTAAAGAATGCTTTTCCTTTGTTTGCAGTAAGGTAGATATTTACATCTAACAGTTCATAAATGAATATGGAATGCTTTATTTCTTGATACTAATTTATCCTAAGCTAAATTTTAGATATCCAAATATTCTTTGCAATGACTCTTAAACTAATATATTCCTCCTTAATTTATACAGTTGAGCACCGTAATTTATACAGTTGATCCCATTTCAGAAATCCTAAAAATTACTGTGGAGTAATTATATTAAAAAATAATAATTACTGTGGAGTATTTCTGTATAATATAACTGTTTATGCAAATATCTGGTGTTTTTCTTTAGTCTTTGAGAGTGTCACTGTCTTTGATAACACACACTGAATGAAAAACTCTGAAGACTTAAGCGACTTCTCAATATGTCTTGGAAGCAGGATGTAAAAGACCCTTTTATAAGCTCAGAAATAATTTAACAGAAGGCACAGTTTGTATTTACAGAACCATACAGCATTTATGTCCTAAATCAAAAGTAACGAATTGGACTTAACTGAGTAAACTGCAAATAGCCAAATGCTAAATAGACAGAAAATGTGCCAGTTGGCTCAAATCTAATATCAGCGTGACAAGCCTAATAATGAGAATAAATATTTGCAGTGCCACAGATAAACTGCCCTGAAGAGATTCGACTAGTAACATGGCCTTCAACAGGCTGAACATGCTCTGATTCTATCATGTAAAACCTTCCTTTCAATACTAATATCTACCTCATTTGAATACTTTGGACTAGAAATGGAAACCAAGAGAAACTGAAAGCTAATTAACATAAAATAACTCGTTAATAAAAATAAATCAATGCTCTACAACTTCCCTTGCCAGAATTTAAATATATTCAACAGAAATCTTTAACAACCTTGTCAAAAACTTAAATTATTATTAACCATGAGCCAACCTCTCACAACAACGTAGAACTTACACTAGCCTAACTTTAGCTTACTAAATGACAAAGAGCTGGATCTTGACATCTTCTTTTCCACTTACAATAAATCAGCTGATCTCGTTCCACTCATCTGGAAGGAAAAATATTTTAGCAGAAAAATTCAATGCTCATTACATTACTTCAATTTAAATTAGCTTTCTGACCCTTTTCTCATTTAACCCACTCAGTGCTATGGACAGAAAATTCTATATAGAAGGATAGCATTTTTATTCATTACACATGAAAATTGCAGCCAGCTTTTAATGTATCCAATTTCGGTTTGGATGTATATTAGAAGAAAAGGAATTATTTCTGCCAGATTTAGCCACTTCTGGTCCATATATGCTTCTTAGCATAAAAATGTCCTTCTTTTTTTATTTGAAGGCAATGATGTTCATGTTGTTTCGCTGCATTATTTCCAATTCATCCTTTTTTTAGTTTTTTTCCTGGAAAGTCTTTAGGCATTCTTTTTTGTGTTTGTAATACTGTTCCACAAACATTCATTTTTACGGAATGATAATATTCTGCAAGTGATGGGGAACTGAAGAAACAATCCAAAAACTTATATTTTATCCCATAACACATCAAACCCGTAATCCAAAAGATTGTGTTACTCCCATAACACAATATTTTAGATGGAACATACTGTTGAAAAAGGTATGCATTGATGCAAATATTTTCCTTGGGTATGCAGTTTCTTTTAAATTTGTTTTTTAGATTTTCCTAGATGTTTTAGATTTCGACTAGATCTAGTTTTAGCACTCTTGTCTGAGGTGAAATGCAAAAATTTTAAAATATTAAGGAGCGCATCTCTAGGCATAACTGTATTGAAGAACGGCATAGCAAATATTTCATTTGTAATGAAATACATTTTCAAATTAGGCTTCTTGATAATATTGCTTGATAGTATTATCATTGCAAAAAATACTTTTATATTCTCAGTATTTACATCTGAAAATCTGGCAGACTTAGAAGTTGACTGAGCACTTCTTTGAGCGTTTTGAACAAAACTGTTTGTTTCTTCAGCAGTCAAATTTAGTAGATCATCATCAAAGAAAATATTAAAAAAATCAATCTATACCATGGCTTGCAATTTGTTTGTGGCCTGAATGGCCATCAAACAAATTAGGAAACTGACTTTCTTTTTTGTCTGCCTCTAAAAGGCTTATCTTAGTCACTGCTGGCTGCATCTGTTCTTCCAGCTTCTTCATATTGAGCTGCAAAATAGATTCCTGAAAGTTTAATTCGCCATCTGCTATGTACAAGAAATCCAAGTCTAACAATATGGCAGCTTAAAGATTTTTCACAATAAGGAATACAGCTTTTTGCTGCTCATTTTTGATTTGCTTGTGCAAGGCTATCTTGTGCACTGCTTGCCTTGGATGGCATTAACTTTTACTCCTGCATGTTAGATAGTCTATACCTTCTAAAGTATATTTGTGAAAAAATGTTTCTGGGGGGGGAAGTACACTACTTTGAGCCCTATGAAACCTTTTCTTCTCCAAACATATTTCTACTTTCCATTTTCTGTTTCCCACTTGAGCACCCAACAGGAGTCAGGAAGCATTTTGATGTTTTATCTTCCTTGATAGCGTCTCTCGATATCATGGATATCCTGGTGAAATCTTTCACCATGCTCTTCACTGAAGCTCCCAAGTTTTCTAAAAAGCAGTCGAGACAGAAGTATAAAAAAGTAACTTTTAAGCTCATCTTGCATCTTTGAGCTTTATATGCAGGTAATATGCATCGTACAATGGTTTTATTGTTAGGGTCTTTTGTATTATCCAAAAACTTGTGCACTATGTCTTTAAAAGATTCCCATGCTTCTTTTTCTCTTATTGTTTCTGAAAAGAGGGGATCGGATAACGGTTTTCAAATGCCAGGGTGAATCTGCAGGAACAGTATTTAGTAATACCTAGACTATTAGCAATGCCAAATTTTTAACAATGATGGTATTCAATTAAATTTTAGAGTCATTTTCTTGTCCTCTGAGGTAACTGTTATCCTCTTACCTCAGTACCACTGCCTAGTTTAAAGTTTTCATATTACTTTCCTCCTGTTTTCTATTTTGACCTTCACTTTGATGGCCATCACTCAAGGTTGAATCTCTTTTTCTATCATCAAACTGCCTCTTCTGGCCAAACTGTTGCCCATATGGCTTCTTGCCATGCCCTGCTATGCATGTTTCTCCCGCCATGCCATGCAGGCTAAATCCACAACTTGAAAACAACTGACGAGCCAGAAGTATTTTTGTTTTTTAATTTAAGTGAAAAAAATTAACAAAACTGACAAAACATACATAAACAATCATAATAATAATGATGCAAAGGGGGAAATCGAATTTGTTTTCTACCAAAAACGTAAAGTTTGGTATCTGCAAGACATTTTTTGTTGACTGATACTATCAAATAAACTCTCCAGTGTAACTAGGATTTCGTAGTTAAAAAAAAAAAAAAAAATCTTGCATTTGCAGCAGTAACCTAGGCAAGGTAATTCAAATAATTTCATCAGGCCTCTTGTGGTACAGCAAATTAAAAATTTGAATTTTTCATAAAATAAAGTCTATTAATTCTTCACCTTTAAACTGAAATTTACTAATGAGCTTTGACTTGAGCTTAGCCCTATCTTTCACAAGAGGGGAACCTTTAATGAGAGCATTCTTGAAAACTTTAAATGTGTAGGTATCCATTCTCTGGCTCACCCAACACAAATTTTCCAATGCATTTATACCAACTGGTGGCCTGCTATCTAAAGGTAGCAGTTGCAATAGTAACTATTTGTATATTGGCCTTTGGATGCAGTACCAAATGGGAATTTAGTTGTTCAACTATGTTAATTACTGACATTTTCCCATCAAAAGTTACTGCGGCTTTCATGGCAGCCCTTATGGTATCCACAATGAATCTAAATCCTTCAATGGGACTAACTGAAGCCAGTGGAACTTTCAACATTGAAGGGCCAGAATAAATGTAAAACTTTCCTGAGACATAGTCCTTATTGTAGCTTGGGGACCAGTATAGAATCTTGCACTCTATAGTAGCATAAAATTGAGTGAAATCCGTGAAAATTGAGTAACTTCTCTCTTTGTCTTCGAAATTACAACAGAGACTGAAAAGGGCGTAAAAGACCCTTTTTAATTCAGATAATTTAACAGAAGGCACAGCTTGTGCTTACAGAACCTATAAATCAAAACTTGCAGATTGAACTTGACTAAGTAAGTTGTAATTAGTCAAAGGCTACACACACAGAAAACTTACAAGTTGGTTCAGACTTAATATCGACGCAACAAGCCTAATGGCGAGAATAACGCAATACCACAAATAATCTGCCCTCAAGGGAATAAACTAATAACATGGCCTTCAACAGGCAGCACATGCTCTGATTCTACCATCTAAAAACCTTCTTTTAAATACTATTTCTTTCTACCACACATTTGAATACACATGAAATACAGATTATCATTCCGGCAGGAAAATGAAAAGCG